TAAATTTCAGTTAATTAGAATTATTTTTAAGTGATGCGTGTATTTTTGATAGACAAAGCCGTAATATATCATAATATTCATAATATTATTTTCCTTTTATCCAACCTTATTCTTCATGACTTCCTTTCTATATGTTACATGTACACTCAAAAAAATAATGCAACCACATTTGACATTTACCTAATCATATTTAGTTACTTTAACACAATTGTTCTATGTTTTATGGAGGACCAACTCTGCCATATTTAAAAATAAATACATGAATAAATAAATGCTCAACAAATAAATCAGAATACAATTAATTGCCCCCAAATAAAATAAAAAACTAATGTAGGTGGAAATTAAATTCTACAGTGAGACATACACTATATTGCCAAAAGTATTTGCTCACCTGCCTTGACTCACATATGAGCTTAAGTGACATCCCGTTCCTAATCCATAGGGTTCAATATGACGTCGGTCCACCCTTTGCAGCTAGAACAGCTTCAACTCTTCTGGGAAGGCTGTCCACAAGGTTTAGGAGTGTGTTTATGGGAATTTTTGACCATTCTTCCAGAAGCGCATTTGTGAGGTCGCACACTGATGTTGGACGAGAAGGCCTGGCTCTCAGTCTCCGCTCTAATTCATCCCAAAGGTGTTCTATCGGGTTGAGGTCAGGACTCTGTGCAGGCCAGTCAAGTTCATCCACACCAGACTCTGTCATCCATGTCTTTATGAACCTTGCTTTGTGCACTGGTGCACAGTCATGTTGGAAGAGGAAGGGGCCAGCTCCAAACTGTTCCCACAAAGTTGGGAGCATGGAATTGTCCAAAATGTCTTGGTATGCTGAAGCATTCAGAGTTCCTTTCACTGGAACTAAGGGGCCAAGCCCAGCTCCTGAAAAACAACCCCACACCATAATCCCCCCTCCACCAAACTTTACACTTGGCACAATGCAGTCAGACAAGTACCGTTCTCCTGGCAACTGCCAAACCCAGACCCGTCCATCAGATTGCCAGATGGAGAAGCGCGATTCGTCACTCCAGAGAACGCGTCTCCACTGCTCTAGAGTCCAGTGGCGGCGTGCTTTACACCACCGCATCCGACGCTTTGCATTGCACTTGGTGATGTATGGCTTGGATGCAGCTGCTCGACCATGGAAACCCATTCCATGAAGCTCTCTGCGCACTGTTCTTGAGCTAATCTGAAGGCCACATGAAGTTTGGAGGTCTGTAGTGATTGACTCTGCAGAAAGTTGGCGACCTCTTCGCACTATGCGCGTCAGCATCCGCTGACCCCGCTCCGTCAGTTTACGTGGCCTACCACTTCGTGGCTGAGTTGCTGTCGTTCCCAAACACTTCCATTTTCTTATAATACAGCTGACAGTTGACTGTGGAATATTTAGGAGCGAGGAAATTTCACGACTGGATTTGTTGCACAGGTGGCATCCTATCACAGTTCCACGCTGGAATTCACTGAGCTCCTGAGAGCGACCCATTCTTTCACAAATGTTTGTAAAAACAGTCTGCATGCCTAGGTGCTTGAATTTATACACCTGTGGCCATGGAAGTGATTGGAACACCTGATTCCAATAATTTGGATGGGTGAGCAAATACTTTTGGCAATATAGTGTAAATGTATATATCTCTTTTAATTAGCTTCTTTAGTTATTCGCCTTTGAAATAATAATCTTATTTATTTATTTATTGTCCATTTAATCTTCAACTTTATTACTTATTTTTTAAGTATTTATTTATGTGCATGTGATAATATTTTTGTCTGGTTTATTCTTCCTTTGTATTTTTTTTTTTACCCCAATTTATTTCCTCCACGCTATTTATTTCTGTCCGTTGTTTTTACATTTCTGTATGCATTTCTACCTCATTATGCAAATGAGGAGGGGTGTTTTTTTTCACCTCCTGTTATTACTAGTCTCTAGATTATAATAAATTCTGACTTTTTTAGTGGGGGGGAAAAATAAGCAATGAATAAATAAAGTTGAGGATTTTAACGGACAATGAATAGATAAGTTAATTATAACAAAGGTGAATAAATAAAGAAGCAAATTAAAAGAGATTCTTACATTTATGTCTCACTGTATAATTTAATTTCTACCTACATTTATTTGTTTATTGTATTTTGGGGGGCAATTAATTGTATGCTTATTTATTTACTGAGCATTTATTTATTCATGTAATTATTTTTAAATATGGCAGAGTTGATCCTCCATAGGAACATAGAACAATTGTAGTAAAGTAACGAAATATGATTAGGTTAATGCCAAAAGCGCTTGCATTATTTTTTGAGTGTACATGTAACACATAGAAAGGAAGTCATGAAGAATACGGTTGGATAAAAGGAAGATTATATTATAAAAACAGATCCATAAGAAATAAGACTTGAAAAATAAAAAGAAATAAAAGGCCTTTAGTTATTTCCCCAATCCTTGACAGAGACACATTGACTAAAATAAAACAGAGGTGATGGTTTAAGTGCTATATGAGATAAGAAACATAAAAAAATTGCTCAAAAAATTCAGCCCTGTCCCTATAGCTGTAAAATTTTATTTCTACAGACATTTATTCGTTTATTTTATTTTGGGGGGCAATTAATTGTATGCTTATTTATTTATTGAGCATTTATTTATTTATTTTTAAATATGGCAGAGTCGGTCCTCCATAGTTTATGGAAAAATTGTGTTAAAGTAACTGAATATCTATTTAATTACATCGTTTTTTTCAGTGTAGTTCAGCAAGACGTTGTTTAGTTTCATGCTTTCTATATGGAGGTTTGGCAATGTGAAGTTTTGATTTTAACCAACAGGTCATTTATTAGCCTATATCATTTTTTTCTTCAACAAGAAGTAGAGCAGTTTCCTATAATATGTAGGGGGATAAAAGCCCCCCTCCTCTCTCTACACACTCCTCTATTTTGGTGCTTCCTCTCGCTGCCAAGCCCCTGACGTAATGCGCCGCTGTTAAGGATTAGCAGCTCCAGACTCGCTAGCCTTTATTATCAAGCAGACATGCAGTCAGAGGACGACCGGCGCAGGCTTCAAAATAAAAGCCCCAATAAACAGCTGCATTTTTACCTGCTATGTTGGTTTAGGAAATCCTGGTTCTTCCTAAAAAGGGCTGAGTCACTGGGCTGGGCGGTTCTAGACAGGGGCCAACGGGGGCCAGTGCCCCTGTAGATCAAGTCCTGGCCCCTGTTATGGCCCTTGTATCAAAGACATAATAGGCTACTCAAAGAAATTCTAAACATGATATGAGCTGGAACAAACAGTTACCAATAGGTCCTTTGGATCTATTTGACTTTTGTATAAAAAAAATTTCAGTTTTAATAATTATTTAAAAACAATATGGTGATAGCTTCAGTGGCATTGAGACAGGATCCTAGTTTTCATCTGCTAAATGTTTTTTTTTTTTTCAAAACAAATAAAAAAACAAACTCTAATTTTTACAGCTGTATGTATCAGCTTTTCTTGAGTTCTAATTCTGATTTTATAGAAAACTGTAATTTGAATTTCAATAATGTAAAAAAGAAATGTAAAATTCCTAAATTATGAATGTATATTGACCTAATATTCCAAATAATAGCTTTATTTTACCTTTTAGATATTTATATAGCTACGATTTTTCTAGTTGCTTTTTTGCGATGCTAAGGGATTTTCATTTTGATATTAAGGATAATCCAAATGAACATTTTCAAGCCAAAAATAAATATTTTCGGTTGGAAGACATATAAATGAAATAATCCTAATTGAATGGAAATTTCACTTCATGTAGCTGTAATTGAATCTCTTGGCCTGTTTTTATTGTTTCATGTTTTTCTGTGCCCCCATGAAAATATGCTGCCTTCTGTACATTCTAAGCAATTTATCTGATCTGAGTAACATTACAATTTCTATAAGAATCTGTTGTCATGTCTCCTGGTAATAGATACAAGTTATGAAGTGTTATTTAAAGAGTTTGTCCTAAGTGATATCTTTCCAGGGAAAAGAACCGGAGAGATAGAGCATCAAGGTGCATACACAGAGCCTAAGAGAACACATATATTGCACCCTTTTTATTATGAAAGATATGAATGTGAATGTTTTGTAGCTCAGGAAATGTTCACAGACTACCATCTAGCACTGGTTGAGGTTGAAATAATTTTAGCTAAACGTTTTTTGTAACCACATTTCTTGTAACTTCATTCTGAAGAATGGAGAGTGTATGTTTATGATGGATTCTATGGTACTGAGATGTCATGTGATGCTGGAGCCAAATACCTCCAAACCCTGCAGCCCCTTCTCCAGTTTAACAACTGAATAAATTGCAGGAGATTTAAATCCTTAAAAAATTAAGTTATTTATTACCTTACTGACCAAAAACTAAATGGTTAGAAATAAGAAAAGATCTGGAAATAAAAAAAGAAAATTGCCTACAGATATGACACCCAGTGTTACAAGAACCTTATCTATATAGCGCCAATTCACAACACCTGTCATCTCAAGGCACTTTACAGTTCACCATATCATCCAGTCAAATTGATGCAAAGTTTTCTATCTATGGAAAACCAGTTGATTGCATCGACTCATTGGCTCGAAGGCAATCCCTCACACTAAGCATGCTTGAAGCGACAGTGGAGAGGAAAAACAGTCACATTTAATATTTGGTTTTATAATCATTAAAAAAGACATTTAGTATTTTATCCATTATGTTATATTTTAATCTGTCAGTATTATGTGCTCTGGGCCTGCTGCACAGGTTAACCAGTCATATTTGATCGTTTATTGGGCCACACAATATCATAAAACAGAAAGAATAGTTTCAGAAATAATTTTCAAATTTTATTTTGAAATAATCTTGATAAAGACAAAGTAATGAATATAGTAGGCCTATATTTTATTTTATGTTCCTGATAAAAAAAAAACTGTGGCTCTTTTTGTCACACCAAGCTACTGAGGCCCATAGAGCTTTATTTTGACACCCCCAGACCGGAACAAGTAGAGTGCTTCTAACTTTGTCTCTTCAGAGAGCGATTTAGAGCCGAGCAGTCCGTCTGTTGAGCGGACACAGAGGGAAAAGTTGGTCAAGATGGCAAATCATGCAGAGCCGGAGTGAAAGGGCGCTGCTGCCCCTCTGAAGACTTAAAACAAGCTGCGCCTGTATTTCCTCCTGAAGGGGAATCCAGCGATGCAAACTGCGCCAGAAGGTAGGAACAACAAACAATCCTTTAAATATTTTCAAACATTTAACAAAATACATCTCGCTACAGTTTATTTCTTCCTTCAAAGCCTCCCCCTTCATTTCCCCTAGTTTATAGTATTTTCTCTGGTAGGGTTGCAGCTATTTATGTGTGCGTAAAGGCGTGCGTAAACATATGGTTAACTTGGAGTTTACTGTTAACCTGCTCATATTAAATGAAACAATGTTGCCTTTTTTGACATATCTGCTGCAGGCTGGGTGCTGATGAAGCACACTGACAGTTTTAGACCATCAGCCTGCAGGAGCCTGCTCCCACATTTTCCTTTTGGATCAAACTCTCCCCAAAAATCTCCCTTCTTTTCCCAACCCGTCAGGAATATATATGGCTGTGTAGGAGTAACCTATGATTGAAATCATGTCAGGAAGTCGCCAGCCGTCGGTAACCCGGCCCGCGTCCCTTGGAAAATTCCGGGATGCAGCGCCAGGATCACCGACAGCTGTATTTTTAGGAATGGGTGGATACCAAAAACATGTTCCTTTATTTTTGTCCCGGCGGTAAATACCACAAGCCCTATGCGCATAGGCGTCAGCTATAAACGCTCGGCTGCTTTCTTAAAAAAAAAAATCTAAATAAATAAAGAAGTAGAATAGAATTGCTCCGCCGCTGCAAAACAGACAGAAGCAACAGGGATAATGTGGCATCAAGCTGGAAAAGTCTCTGCTTATGCACAGAAAAAGGTAGACATTTTTTTTGGATATGCTTCTCTTAATGGCTTGCATCCCCCTGCAGGCCTGAGAGGGATTCCCTGAAGAAAAATGCAAGAGGCTGAAGCTGAAGTGAGACAGCTTGAGCTGGAAGAGAGCTGACTCATCAAATATCATTCCCTCCCTGTTCCACCAAGCAGCCAGAAACAGCTCAGATCCCCTAATGTCTGCTTAGAGAGGACCTCTCACCCCCTCCCATCTTTCACTCTCACCCAAGGAGATTATTAGAAGGAGAAGGTGCAGCAGTGATCTATCCAGCGTCTGGGACGTCCCATTGTAACCGCTCATTCACCTCAGCTTCCTCCTCCCTCCCCATCACAATTGGTGCTTCTCCATCCCTCACGCCTCACAGACCATGATGTTTCGGGATCAGGTGGGCGTGCTGGCCAGCTGGTTTAAGGGATGGAACGAGTGCGAGCAGACCGTGGCTCTGGTGTCCCTGCTGAAGAGAGTGAGCCGGACCCAGGCCCGCTTCCTGCAGGTCTGCTTGGAGCACTCCCTGGCTGAATGCACGGAGCTGCAGGTCCTGGAGGGAGAAGCAAACAATCCAGGTAGGATATCTGCTTCTGAAAGTTAAAGAGGACTCTTAGAAGTTTTTAAAACTGATCAAACCTCTGCAACCTAAATGTGGTTTATTGGGATTATTTGGAAATAAATAACATCACAGAATAGTTTGTAATTACAAAGTGAAAGGAAAATAATATGTTCTTGAAATGATTCATAAATTAAAGTCTTTAAAGTTTTGCATGCCTTTGTATTCAGCATCCTGAGTCAAATACTAAGATTATGGCTATACTTTGACTGGACCTTTCTAACACATAGATATGCTTTGATTTGTGGAATTTTGACCATTCCACAGCTTGGGCTATATATTTATGGTCTTTGTCCTGCTGGAAGGTGAACCATATCCAAATCTAAAATCTTCTTAACTTACAGTTATCCTCCAAAACTTGCTCTTTAGTTTTTTCTTAATTCCACTTCTAATCAAGCAGCTTTTTCCCCCCAGCTCCTTACAAAGTAAAGTCAATTTTCTACAGGGTGGGGTTGTGTTTAGGTTGAGAAGTAGTGTTAGTTTTCTGTACCTCCCACTGGTTTGCTGTGTTCCTACGTTGCTTTTTACAAATTAAACATTGAGCTTCTTACAGTTGTCGGTCAACAAAGATGTTCTTCTTGCCACCCTCCCATACAGAATAGATTTGTGATATTCAAATGTAATATTTGGTCTCCTGACAGGTCGTTGGAGTTTGGATCTAAAGCAGCTCCTCCAGTGTTGCCATTTTCCTCTCGCATTCTTCTCTAGCTTATGCTATCCTTGCAATTAATTCATCCCCCTTCTATGTGCAGAGGGTCTGAACTGAGCTCTGTGATATTTAAAGCCAGGTGGATTGTCTAAATTGACCCTGCCTTTAACCTCTCCACATCTCTCTGCCTAACTGGTCTGCTGTTTGCCTTGGTTGGTCATTAACGTTCTCTAACAAACATATGAGGCTTTCACAGAACCGCAGGATTTTTGCTGAGATGTGTAACTACCCTCAGTTGGACTCCGCTTACAAATGAGTATAGCTGTTGTGATTATAAGCAGACAACATTAATGTTGTCAATATATAGTTTATTTGCATTTCTTTTGCGTATGTATGTACTGTGGCTTGCAAAAGTATTCGTCCTGTTTTCTTGTAATCTGATGTGAAAGAGCAACACAAAGTGGTATGCAAAGGTGAAGTAGAATGCAAACTATGCATGATTTAAAAACAGGCTTTCCAAACTTAAAAGTGCAGTATGCAAAAGTATTCAACCCCCTTCTCTTCCAGTTCAACTAAGTGCATTCAGAAGTTGCCTGGTGATTGCTAATGACTAAATAGAGTCCACCTGTATATGATGTAATATCAGTACTGATATTGCTGCTCTGTAATGGCTTCTGGATTTGGTTAACATAATATTGGGGAGCAAATGGCATCATGAAATGTGAAGGAGCACACCAATCAGGTCAGGGATAAAGTTGTGGAGAAGTTTTTAGCAGGCTTAGGTTATAGAAAGATTCTCCCATATCAGATGTTCAGTCATCTGGAAATGGAGGAATCATGGCAGAACTGTAAACTGACCGAGACAAGGCGGTCCACCTAAATGTAGAGGCCTAACAAGGGGAGCACTGATGAGCACCAACAAACCGCTCAGGTGGGAAAAACGTTCTTAGGACAACTTTTTGTCATTTACTGAATAAATCTTCTCTTTATGTAGAATGGCAAGAAGAAGCCATTGTTGAAACAAGTCCCATTTACAGTTTGCTAGAAACCATGTTTGAGACACAGCAGACAAGGAAGAAGATGCTTTGGTCAGATTAAACTAAAACTGAGCTTTTTGGCTAATATACAAAACACTATATATTGCAGAGATTTAACAGCTCTGAACACACCATCCCTGCTGTGAAATATGGTGGTGGCAGCATAATGTTTTGGTGGTTCGTCTCTCCAGCAGGGACAGGGAAAATGTTCAGAGTTAATTGTAAGATAGATGAAGCGGAACACAGAGTAATCGGGGAAACAAACTTGTTGGAGTCTGTAAAACACCATCCAGCAGGACAACGACCCTAAACATCCAGCCAGGGCTACAGTAGAAGGGTTTAAACAAAACCTATCCATGTGTTAGAACGGCCTAGTCCAGACCTAGACCCAATCGAGAATCTCTGGCAAGATCAGAACACTTACGTTTACAAACACTCTCCTTCCAATCTGACTGAAACTTGAGCTGAAGAAGAAGCAAAGAAGAAACAAACAAAAGCAAAGAAGAACAAACAAAAATTCTGTCACTATGTGGCCAAAGCTAATTGAAACGCAGCTAATAAGACATGCAGCCATAATTGCAGCAGCAGGTTGTTCAACAAAGTCCAGACTCAGGGGGGCTGAGTTCTTTCTACTTTACAACTGTAAACCAATTGTTTGTCTTTCTCATAAACTTCCACTGAAATATATTGATGTTTGTTTGTAATGTGACAAGGTGTGGGGAAAAATTTTCAAGGGGTATGAATACTTTATCAAGCCAATGTATATCTGTTTGTATCTATATGTATGATTTTTCTGTTTTTTAAGTTGTTCTGAATTGATGTCAAAGTTAAATCGTTCTAGATTTACCCTCATGTAGAGATGCATGGTGCCCTCACTGTATTACAGCACTTTTCCTGTTTTAGACATTTATGCAGATCCATCAGAGTTATGCAAATGGTTTGGAAGTCATGTGAAAAATAATTTCAGTTCAAATTTGATTGTGCTTGGCGTAGAGTCGACTGACAGTGCTTTGGGATGCTCAGTGGGCCATTCCAACTGTAATATGGGAGGGGTAATGGGGTGGGGGTTCTGCCTGGGTTTGCATCACACTGCAGCATGGCCATGGTAACAGAAACCCTGGCAACGGAGAAGGCTGATGGAAAAATAGAATGAAGCACTGCTGCAATGGAGAACCAGGTTCTCAGCCTACCTATAGCAGCAAAGGATGGATGATCATATCTGGTCAGGAGCAGTAATGTGTCTCGAAGGAACATATCCCTTTCTGGGGGGCTGTAGCTCCAGCTAACAGGCTGCTCTGTGGTATCGTTTGATAAAAGAGGAAACGCCAAGACTGAATTCATAAAGTTTTCTCCCAAAGTCCCCTGGGGAAAAAAGGTGGTTCATACTATTAGAGACCAAAGTAATCTGAATTAGAGGAGCACGCCTTGGAGCAAAGTTTTCATTGCAAATAATACTGTCGTTAATTAGGTTAGGGTGTCGGTTTGTTAAACCTTCTACCTTTTAAATGGACTAATCTCCTGTTAAACTTCAGGACTGGAACTCAACATAGTAGTGGTCACTTCTCTTTCACCACTTTATTCTTAGGTGGCCATCATGTTAGTAATTGCTGCTTAGGCCAGGAGTCCTTGTGATTTTGCCAAAACAGTTTTTAGACCATAAAGTCAAAACTGTTACTGCGCTGCTTAATTTGCCTGAATTAAATGTAAAAATATCAAAAAATAAGGATATTTTTAAAAAAGAGGAACAAACCTACTTGAGGGAGGATGATTTTAATTTATACTTTATGTTATGAAAATAGAACTAAATGATCATGATGGAAATTAGTTCATCCTTTATTTCACAATCCTTTTTTTGTTGTTTGGAAACCAGAAGATGCTTCATTAATCTTTTGATTTATTGATTGATTTTTATTTTACTTTTTTTTTTCCAATCAAAAGAACTGACCAATGTATTCTTGGGCAGCTCTAAATGGGGTCAACAGGGGCCAGTGCCCCCAAAGAACTGGTCCTGGCCCCTGTTTTGAGAACATGCACTACAAAATATTACATTTTTCTGAAAATAAGGGTATTTTTTCCCTTGATTTGAGAAAGAACTTTACATAGTTTGCCAATGGGGAAAAAGAAGATTTTTGTTTGAAGTGAGGAAAAAAAACAATTTGCATTACTTATTGCAAGTGTATCATATCTATATATCTTACTTTTAAGACCTAAAATACTTACCTGCTCAAATTAAGAGCAAATATAGTTATTTTAAGAAGTTCTTCCTTTTTTTGAATCATATTCTTTTGGAATTTCATACCGAATGATTTTCTCATGATGACATGTGCTGACAAAACACACTGTAAATGATTTGTCCATCGCACCAATTCAATATTTCGCCTTTACATTTCATTCAACAATTATTTAGTTGTTGTAGATGGCTTTAAGTTACAGTCATACTAAGATAGGATCACAAGTCTGCAACTTTGGCTTTGTGGCTCACTTAATATGTTAAATTATGCACATTTTTTTCTATTTTCTGGTGTTTGTTCTCCTTTTGTTCTGTACCCTTATGAAAAAAACAATAGTCCCAATAAAAAAATCTAAATCAACTAAACAAAAACTATATTTGGCTGCAGCTAGTAATTTTTTTAAAATAATCTTGCATTAAATCCCTGTATGTCTGTTGTTTTTCACCCTGAGAATGTATTTCCAGTCACTGCTCTTTACACTCATACTTGAGACGTATTCATTGTGACCAAGTTGCTAAAACTCATGGAAGAGTAAAGAGATGCTAAAATTGGGGTTAGTCACAATATCTGTTTTGCAACATTTAAACTAAAAGCAAAATAGCAACACAACTCCAGTTAAAGTAATGTGTAGAATCTTCATTTTTAAGAATAGAGATTTAAGGATATGCTTACATATTTTTTTTTCTATACCATTCTATCTTAATACACCTTATTTTATTTAGTTATGCACATCAGTTTACTAAATAATACTAAACATTAGTGCATGTTGGTAATGGTGTTGGTTCATAGGGGATTGGGCTAATCAAGCAAACAAAAAAAAATTCTTGTGATCATTGATAAAGCGATGACATTGCAGCAGAGAGAGCCAACATAATTGTGCAACTTGTGTAAACTGTAACTGCACATACTCCAAATAGCCTCTGAGATAAACTCGGTTAACACAGCTTCTTTCACAGCACCACACCGTTCTGCTGTGCTTTGTTTACAAAATAAATGACGCCTCTAAAATGAGTACAAGTAAGCCTCATCTTCATTTTTTTGC